GCAAACCCCACACCAAAAATAGTGCCGACAAAAGTATATTATGTGATTTATGATTAAAAAGAGTTGAATTTGTAAATAAACTAACTACTGATGTAAAGGTTGACGGAACATAAAAAAAATACTTCTAAGAAAAAAAGTAAATATTGCACCATAAAACAAATTCAAAGAACAAATGAGATCAACTCAAAAAATACTGAAAAATTATGGAATGAATTAAAGAGACGGGCAACTTGATTTATGTCGAGACCTTGTTAAGAAATCAATAAATGCATCAAAGGAGTGGAGGAAAGAAACAAATTTAGGGAACATAAAGTGTTATATGAATTATTTATATTCTCATATTAAATAAACTAATATTTTATCAATCGCGGATCTTGTCCAACGTAAAAAAATTGAGATTTTCCACATAGACCCCGAGCTGGAGGATAAAATTGATTGTATGTTTCTCGATGTTGTGGTTATAGACTCTAATTTACAGGCAACACATGACTTTCCTCATAATTTGGATGAACCCAAATATGCTAGCTCAAATGAATTTCAAGAGAAAGCATAAAAAATAGAGAATATGGTGAATCAAGTCATTCATTCAAATCACTATACACCTGCCACCTAGAAACATAAAAATAAAATGAAGGTCAACATTCAACATTTATATTGTAGTTTTCACAAGTTACTACGGTCTGCACAAACATGACTTTCAGTGCTTGGAAAAATATTCAGAGATGCCTAACCCGGGCAATAGTTGCGAAGAAGTTGCACTTTATTCGTGAGATATTTGATGACATGTCCCAATATTTATTTGTTATATAGTTTTTAGAATACCGAACAAAGTGGGAGACATTCATTATAATGGTGTTGGAACAGAGAATTATTTTGTTGTGCTTTTTCTTAAATAATCAGTTTAGTTAGTTTGCATTTTTTTTTAAATTTTTGTTTCATTTTGATGCGCAACAATTTGAACCTTTATGCTGAATAATATCCTGTTACATGATATTTGATCATTTATGTTTTACACTAGTTGTAGTATTTTAATTATGCAGTTGTTTACTTATAACTTAACTTATTATTTTTATTGTTCGATTGCATATTTAATCAAATTATTAATAAAAAATACAATGTATTATAATTTTCGGAAAAACGAGTTGAATGTTATCAATTAATTTAAGAGCTCTGTATTGCCATTGCGGTACAAAGTGTTTTGAATACACTAAAATGGTAAGACAACTACGAGAAGATAAGAATTTATTGTTATTATATAAATATGACACATGAAGAATGCATATTTTTTTCTATGTGTCGATGATAGAAAAAATTTTGTTTTGGATAGTAACAAAGTCAAGAGAGATGTTATGGAAAAAAATTATCCCGAAGACTTTATAGTCTTGACATAAAGACAAAAAACTGTTAAATTTTTATTTATGTCTCATATTTATTTTAATAACTTATGAGATTTATTTTGATAACTTAAGTTATTTATTTTCTTAACTCATAACTTATGTCATAATAAATGATGACTTAAGTTATTTATTTTTATAACTCATGATAACTTAAGTTATTTATTTTCTTAACTCATAACTTATGATATTTATTTCTATAACTCATGATAACTTAAATTATTTATTTTCATAACTCATAAATTATGTCATAACTTATGATATTTATTTTCATAACTTATGATAACTTAAGTTATTAATTTTTTTAACTCATAACTTATGTCATAACTCATGATAACTTTTGATATTTATTTTTGTAACTCATGTAATCCTTAAAATGAATAGGGGTTATTAACTTATGTCATTGATTTTAATAACAAAAATCAATTAATTTATTAAATTATTATAAATCATATTGGTTAGTAACCCCTTTGATGAATGGTAGTTAAATATAACATAATTCAGAGAATACGTTATCTCTCTTCCTAACACACCCCGTACATTTCTCTCAATCAGAAATTACAAAAAGTTTCAAGGGATTAGAGAGAGAAACTTCATCTCTTCAAGATCAAACTTTTATTATCGTGAATACATGTGTGCAGTACTTTATTATAGATATGTAAAAATCATGAATTTAAAAGATCTTGACAATTATGTTTTTTTTAGAACTTGTGTCATAAATGTTAAACATGAGTTTCTAAAAAAAACATCAAAAAATCAATGTCTATTTTTATAGTTCTTATTATTGTGATATTACGTGCAAAGTTAACATTGATGTATTGAAGAAGTTAGAATCTCATCATGTTTTTTGTATCTTTGAAATTATTTCCAGTTTTCAGTTATACTTTTTTGAAAACAACAGTTATCTAGATAATTTACATCTACAAGGACATAAGTGTACTTTTTATCTGACATAATTGTAGCACAACAAATCATACATGAAACACCAAACTTCATAAATTACACATTAAACCTAAAACTTTAATATTACTAAAAAAACATCATTTATATAGTATTATAGAGGTATTATGATGATATTTTGGTGGTATTCATGTGATAATCTTATGACATTCTGGTGATATTATGGAGGTATTCTGATGTTATTCTTATGGTATTCTGGTGATATTTCAGTGATATTATGTTGACATACAAAAATACCACCATAATAAAAAAAAAACAATTATAATACAACAATAATACCTGAAAAAATCATAATAATGTCACCAAAATACCAATAATAACATCAAACTTACCAACAAAATATCACAAATTTATCAACATATACCACCATAATATCACGAGATGGTATTTCTAGTAATATTCTGATAGTATTCTGCTGGTATACAAGAATATCACCAAAATATCATCTTAATACTACAAGAATACCAAAAAAAATACAATAAGAATACCCTAATAACCTGAATACTATCAAAATGCTATTAGAATACCACTAAAAAGTCTTTAGGTCGGGTTTGGTGGAAAACAATTTTTTTATATTTTCTAATTTGTAAAAATCTGATTTCAAGTGCACGGAAAGAATTTTTTTTCCATACAGAGTCCAGACGCAGCTCAACGTCAGGAATCCAATAAAATTTTGCCACGAGTATCTGACTAGACCCACCTAAAAATTGACGAAAATCTGCTTATTGTGATATTATTGCAAAACAACTTAAATAATACCACAATACCATATGTAATGCGGTTTCGCTTCAAAAACCTGACAAAACAACTCTAATAACACAACAATAATACTATAATAACATCGGTGAACAACACCAATAACACCGCCTAGAGGGTTGTCACCAATAACACCGCCTAGAGGGTTGTCACCAATAACACCGCCTAGAGGGTTGTGTAAATAATAATACCACAATCACTCCAATAAAATAACTTTAATAATATCACATTAACATAGCAAGAATAGCCGTAAACAACATAGAATATCAACCGGAAGACCACACAAATAATATCAGCCTGAAGTTTTCCACTGATTTTTTAGGGGAGCCAGGAAGCGGGAGGGCGCGTACACAATATTTGCTCTGTTTAGAGAGCAGGGTATCCCTCCGTGCCTCTCTCTCTCCGCTAACCAACAATTTGGTCCAGTAGAAGTTGGGAGCGGCGACATGCAGGCTGCAAAGACTGCTGTTCTTCTTCTCAGGTCCAGTCGTTCTCTGTCGAGAACGGAAAGCTCCCCATACGGGCACGTTTCCAGAGCTTTCGCACAATCGGCACTGTCCTCCACTACCACTCACCTCAACGAACAGGATATCACTGATCGAGTTATCGATCTTCTCAGATCCTCACCATTCATTGATCCTGCCAAGGTTGAACTTCTTTATATTGTCCATTTCCTTCGTATCGATTTTAAAATTGTTATTTCTTATGCTGATTTTGGTTTCGCTTTAAGAATTTTCTAAATGATTCATGCTTCTTCCCAGATTTGATACATTTTATTACTGAGCTTAGAAACATAGTTATTCAGGAAAATATCGAGATAGGCAGTGAGATCTAAAAATGCTTTCTCCTCATGAGAACACTGGCGATCGTTGGCTTCGAAGTGCTTTTCTGGTGTAATTTTAAAAATATATCTTCTATTAATATAATTCAGCTGAATCGAAATAAAAAAAAATCTCCACCACCCCCCCCACCCTAACGGGCGATTAGCTCCGCAGAAAATTAGCATGCGACTGTCCCTGCTAATTTTTTTTGATATAACACCTTTCTCTTTATAGGACCTAATTAGCTTAATTTTTATTAGAACTGAACAATCTTATTTTCTAATAATTTTTTTTAAACTCTGGTGTTGACAATTTTCGGTGATTCCCAACCTGCGCTGACCTATCAGCCATTAAGTTGAAAGTAACTCAGCTTAATTTGTATCCGAAGATATCAATCTCTATGCCATCTGAAAAATAATGAAATTTTCTACAACTTTTATGTTGACAGTTTTCGATAATTCTCTGTGAGCAAGTTTCAATTTTTGATTGCTCCAAAGCTTTGTGGTGCAAATTCAAGGAGCATCAAATGTAATTCGATGCAACTCACTCCATTTTTATCCGAACTGAATGATGCTGATATCGTTGGAAAGCTAACAAAAATTTCTATAACTTTCATGTCGATCCCTTTCAGTGATTCCCACGAACAAGTCGCCGTTTGTGCGATTGCCAAAATTTCGTGTCCCAAAATCAACTCATGATGTAACTTGCTCAATTTTTATCTAAATCAAACAATATTAGTGTTGATAAGAAGATAATGAAATTTCCCACAACTTTCATGTTTGACATCGTTTGCTGATTCTCTACGAGCAACTTGTAGTTTTTGGTTATTATGAAGTTTCATGATGCAAACCTAAGCAGTGTCGATCCAGCAGCTGTTAATTCGATGTAAATCACTCAATTTTTATAGGAACTGAACTATTTTGGTATTGTTGGAAAGCTAAGAATGTTTTCTACAACTTTCGTGCTGACCACTTTTAGTGATTCTGCATGAGGAAGTTACACTTTTTTGCGAGTGCTCAAATTTCATTTTTAAAATCAAACTGTGGTGACCCATTAGTCGTTAACTGAGCGTAACTCGCTCAATTTTTATTCTAATCGAACAATTTTATGTTGCTGGAAAGATAGCAACATTTCATGCTGACATCATTTGCTAATTCTCTACGAGCAAGTCATTTTAGGTAAATGATCTAAAGGCGTTACAACATGTATAGAGAGTGGGGAACATTTATATAAGCTAAAACACCATACATTTACCTACATCCATTAGTGCTTGACATTATAACAAGTTTTTAGCAAAGAAAAAAAAAATAGAGGAAGCGATCATGAAAATTTCAAGTAGCAACCCAGTAGGGCCAAAAAATGATCCCCTCTTAGTAACCAAGCAAGAATAAATAAAAATGGTTTATTGCCGATGCAAATAGAATCGAATGACACCCCTCCAAAGCAAGCCTAACATGGATGAAAAATGATCATGTAAAATAAGAAAATGGCAAATGTAACTTTCCTAAGCTACTGCCAATGAAGGTGTCTTTGTGGAATTACATCATTCCCAAGATTGTAATGATTAGGCATAGAGGTCGCTCACGCAGATGATGATTTCCTTCAACACCAGCTTCTTCTCGAGTTTAGTGTACTTCTTGTGCTTCTGGTTGCAGTTCGTATGATGCAAGTTGTAAGGGAGTAACTCCACACTGCTGACTATCATCGTACTGTGATGCTCCTCATGCCATCCGTAAAGACTGTGACATGACATACGGAGATGGGGTGATTGACACATATGATTGCTGGCGGAAGACATAATCAAATGTAGGTCATAACTGTGACTAGGAATGATGTTGTTAACTCGATGGTCCATGATCAGCATATGCAGATGACACTTTTCCTACGTTTGATGTTTTTGCAGCTTGTGCTGAAGTAAAATGATGCGCCATACCCTCAATCGACATGAGCCTGTAGCGGGTTTTCGCAATATGCTTGTTTACTCTGAAATGTCTGGTTAACTCCTCAAACCTACGTAAACTGCATGTAACTCAGAGTCATCAAGTTGACCGAAGTACGATTGGAATATCTCCTCAGATGCCAGAAAATATTCAGTCTACATGAATTAGAAAAATTTCAAGCTTGTATTCACCTTATAGTAGATAACTTTAGAAGTTGTGAGAAGGACTTACAGATTTTTGTTTTCCTGGTATTCTTGGATAACTTATGTTCAGGAGACAGATAGGGGAACTCAATCAGTATAGTGTTGCTTATGACCTCTACCAACTCATGCTTTAATTCTCTTTATCCTCCTTGTCATCATGAATAATTACAATCAAATCTCTGTGGTTCTCCCACATGCCTATTTGCACTTGGTGTTGGTGATAGTCGACTTAATCAACATCATTTTTTTCTTGACTACCGACCCTTTTAAATCTAGTATTCATTTGTGCCACATCTGTACTGATAGATGCCCGAACTGTCGTAAAACCTTGTGAGGTGGTGCCACTGGACCTCTTCCTACTGATAAGGAGCACATGTTCTAGCCAAACATCTTCACCCATAAGTCATATCTGTCTCGCATAATCTTACTTGATTGCCATAGTCCTCCCAAATATCCTACATAATAAAAACATAATAGTTAAATTCAATCTTTAAGTAGAATACCTAGAATATACCTAATAAAATGCATATCTGACTTTGTATAAGACCATCAAGCTCTTTTCAGTATACCTCGACATTCCCCACTGACATTTCTAGCACATGGTCTTTGTTCCACTTGATTCATATAATTATAGGTAAAATGAAGTGCATAATACAATCATAAATGAAATATTAATTCATATGGATATTTACCTGAAGCCAGCTCTCAATTCATTTCGCTCTCATGGATATGGTATATATATTGTGTGCTTTCCAATATTGATATGATTCCAAGCTCATATATGTAGTAGGTGCATGCAGCCTGATATGTTACCCCATCTCGGTATTGTTGACTCAAAGAACTTCCTTTATAAATGGGCTAGCACTGCCCCTCCCAATGAAGGAGTGCTAAAGAGCTCCAAGTTCTCTGGCAGTAACATGCATTGTGAGTGAACCCCAAAATGTATCTGAGAGTAAGAAGGAGTCAATGCTAAACAAGATGTATACCCATCTATGTTTAGTAAGTTCAACGTCACTCAGGTCGATATAGCTGTCCCTGCAAAATGTTCGCATGAGCCACCTTAATGGCATGGATGTTTGTGCAGGTGCTTGGCCCATTTTAAATGTAGATGCGATGTTGGGGTGAGTCAACTCATGATATATATACATACATATATGACAACTAGAGGATGAACAAAAGATATGAATGTATTGTTCTATATATATATATATATATATATATAATATCATGTTCCAGATGTTGGCCCAATAGCTTGTCGCAGCAACCAAACTAAGTTTGCTATTGTTTTTTCTGCACCAACCATAACATGACCTACTGAAGGCAACATGTTAACACATCAATAACAACAAAAACAATAACATCAAGCCTTTATCCCACTAAGTGGGTTCGGCGAGGCACATGTTAACATGAACATCCAAAACCATACCATTGCCACACCCAAAATCATGACTACATACCAGAGTTAATAAAAGAGTGAGTCATAGTTTTATGCTATTTTGTTTTGATGTTTGAGGACCTTATTCTCTTATATCTAGTGAATTTTGATATTTTATCATCTTTGTGGATGATTTTGATAAGAACGAACAAGTTTCAACATAAATAAGATATTCTATTATGCTAGTACCTAATCTAAACGATACAACCGCGAATACATAAAAGAGTATTGGAATTTTTGGTACTCCATAGTTTGCAATCTTTGACACCATTTTGTATGTCATATCTCAAGAATATACACTTTTTTAACATGCAAATTTAATTCTTCATCTCTGATATGGGCATAAGCTAGACAATAAGAAATATTTGAGTTAGAATAACTTGGAGGGCTACCAGATAAAATATCTCATGGATACTTCAAATCGATAGTGGCATGAAGATATCAGTTAATCAGGTAGCATACAGTAGAGACGACTTCAACCTAAAATTTCTTATCCAAAGTGGTTGAAAAAAACATGCAACGAGTTTATTTTAGAATGGTACCATTGTTCCTCTCAACAACACTAGCGAAAGGGAAAATGGAATAGCTGAAAGGAAAAATTGACATCTGCTTGAGACAGTTAGAGTCATTTTGTTTCAAATTAATGTTCCCAAATAGTTTTGGGTTGATGCAGGTTCTTCTGCATATTTTTTTTTGATCAATCAGAGCCTTTAATGACTTTACAAAACTATATATCCTATCAAGTTTTATTTCCAATTAACTCTCTTTTTCATTGAGCCACGTATATTTGGGTGTACTTATTTTGTTTGTGATACTTGTGCACAAGTTTCTAAACTGGACCCAAAGTCATTAATGCGTCTTCTAGGATACTCATTTGCAAAAATGATATTGATGTTTTTCCTCTCTCTTTAACTCATGTATGGTTTCTGCTGATATCACATTTCGTGAGCAAATCCCCTTTTTTGGTGGCCAATCGTTGCCTAAATTCTCACAAGATTCTAATGAATTGTTAATTTATCACATAATCAATTCATATCTTGCTCCAACTCCACCTCCCTCACAAGTGCCCCATCCCAGGCCAGCTATCACTAATTTTACACTAGAAGATTTCATCTCCCTGATCCTAGTTCAACACTGGTATCATCTTCTTCAGCGGATCCTCCTTCTAGTGATCTTAATTTACCTATTGCTCTTCGGAGAGGTAAACATCAATGCGCCTCTCATTCTAACTATAATCAGTTATCTTTT